CGATACATAGGCCACGATACGATACATACCTCAATACATTGCACTTTTGATTCGATACAATATATTTCAAATTGATTTGATTTGGTTCAATAAAAGTAAAGGATAAATCATGTCTGTGACACTAAAAGTCTTTGTTAAACCACTTCTTGTGCAAAATTCACATGAAACACAAACATTTCAATCATCACAACAGTGAAAATATTAAATGTGTCACATAAACTCTAGCGCTGTAACCAAATCATTTAGTAAAATAAACCAAAAAAATACTCTTGATGATATATCGATACAGCGTCTCATGATATCGATGCTGTATCATCACATTAAACGATACGATATATTGATATTTCGATATTTTTTTGCACATCCCTAGACTGTATGCAGAATTTGTGTGTTAATGAAACAAAACACAACTCCAGATATGATTGTGATGAGAAAACAACATTATAACATAACACAGAACAGAAATACGGGATGTCTAAACTACCGTCCATTACCGTAATTGAAAGTTAAAAGCTCCGTGTTTGTCATTTGTCAGTGGGAACAGGATTTTTTTTTCCATAACACGACTTCAGATAAGGGTCAGTGACTAATGCCTGAGGTCAGCACGAGGACGAGGGTACGTGTGACAACAGCTGATTCCTGTGTTTATTTAAGCGCGCCGTATCCAGCTCCTCTCATCACCAATCGACCAGCTCCAGGAAGATAACACATCCACTGATTAGACCTTCCCGTCTGGCCGCGCTCGCCCAGCCCTCGCCCCCCCTCCGGCCTGTTCCCGGTTCAAGTATTCCTCTGTGGTGTAACTGCAGTCCATCAAACGGTGTCAGTCGTCAGGGCTAATGTACAGGCTTAGTTAAAGCTACATGTACGGGGCTAAAAATAAACACAAAATTCCAGATTGGTGTAAATGAGTGGAGGATGTTGAAGGCGTCTTATAACACTGTAGATTGGTGCTACAGCTAAACTTTTTTAGATATAACTGGTGCAGTGAATAGTGCAGGGACTGTACATTTGTGTATAATTTTGCTTCCCCTCATATCCAATCAAATACAGTTCCGAATCCCAACACAATTCCAATTTATTTAAAGATTAGTTGTCTTGGATTTGTACAGTCAAAGAGTATTAAAGGGACAGTCTGGAATTTTGGACATAGGGCCTCATTTCCTAGTGAGCCAGAGTGTTGGAGACGTGTGGAGACACTTTTTTAAATATTCCATCCAGTCCTTGTATTTGCAGAGGTCGCTGGTGCTAGGCTAGTACATGTCAATGGCCATAGTTATCCTGCCACTAAAAACAGTCTTACCCACTCCACAAAACACCCGAAGCAAATCTATTATTACACCAGACTGTCCATTTAAATGTCTGTGTTGATAGAATAATGTTTGAAATAAAACTAACTTTGCATCGTATGAATCGTTGCATGTTGAGGGACTATTTTCTAATATATCAGTCCGCCGCTGCTCAGCTTTCTGTCAGGAAGTACAACTCACTGCTGCTGCTCAGACATTAATCCTTCAAATGCAAGGTTAGTTTTACTTCTAAAATTATTCTATCGACACAGACATTTACATGGACAGTCTGGTGTAATAATAGATTTTCTTCGGGTGTGTTGTGGAGTGGGTAAGACTGTTTTTAGTGGCAGGATAACTATGGCCATTGACATGTACTAGCCTAGCACCAGCGACCTCTGCAAATACAAGGACTGGATGGAATATTTAAAAAAGTGTCTCCACACGTCTCCAACACTCTGACAAACTAAGCTCACTTGGACCCGGTTCACATTAGTATGTATTTGAGTCCTTTTCGTTGTGGATGCAGTGTTCGTCCACACTAATCCAACTGAAAATGGCTCCAGAGACGGAACGATCTGGTGCCGCCAGCTCCCACGAATTCATCTGAGAACGAATCTGATCCAACATTGTGTGGACGCCTGAAAACGCTGATACTCTGATGTAGGTCTATGTGCTGCCACGTAGCTAATTTACCACCAAAACGCTAAGAGGCTAGAATATATGTCCATTCAAAAATATGATCTGTGTGTACGACCTGCAGACGTATAATCTCTGAAAAGTTTAACATGAACCATTTACAACATGATAGAAACACAGAACAAAATCACCATCAGCAGAACACCCCTCTGTCACAGAAAGAACACTCATATTCCACTGAGTCGTGTCCTTTAGTCCGACAGAAGCTGAACCGCATCAGCGCACAAGGAAAGAGCTGTTTTTTGAGCGCTCAGTTTATGCAAATTAGCCATGTGGTTTTAAGTTTCGGTTCTGTAAAATGTAAACAAATATGCTCAAAGCTGTGTGGATAAGGAAGGCTTGTGGACACAGAAACGACGAAACGATTCCAGACTGTCCGTTTAATACTCTTTCACTGTACAAATCCAAGACAACTAATCTTTAAACAAATTGTACCTGCAGGTTAGAAGTTTTATAACCACTAGTCTAAAGTCAACTCTGGAGCCCACACTCTCTACCCTAGAGAATATATGTGTTAACCATCACCAAACCAGAGGCCAACTTTCCAATGTTTACATCATTTTACTTGTGACTTCTAAAGAAAATAGTCTCTCATATCTACAGGCCTGGAGAACAGATTTGGAAACTGATATTTCGGTTGATGAATGGAGTAAATCCTGTTTACAGGCACAAAAACAAAAATCAATCAACACCAGATTCATGTTTCTGCAGCACAAGTGGTTGTTTAGGACTTATATTACACCTGTAAAACTTCACCATTTTAGTCTAAACATTCCCGATGATTACGTAAAATGTGTTGGACCCTTTCTCATGAACTCGAACTGTTTTGGAAAGAGGTCACTACTGTAATTTCAGATTTAACTGAACGTGAGATGCCATTAGACTGTAAACTCTGCATACGAAACATCTTCCCCAACAGCTTTAGTGTTAAGTTAAATAGAAAGAAGCTTGGATTTTTTTTTTGTTTATAACAGGCCAAACATGTTATTGCTCTCAACTGGAAGGAAATGGAGAGACCCAGAGTAAACCAGTGAATTAAAATTAATGTCCAGCAATTAGGCACTGGAGAAGATGAGCTACGTATCGAAAGGAAAACTTGAAGACTTTAAAGACATTTGGTTGCATTTTTTGCACATTGTAACGAATTTTGACATGTAGAAATGATTTTATATTAAATTGAGTGAATTGAGGGTCTGTATGTTAGTATTTTTATTTATTTCTCTTTTTTGTATAATGTCATTTTATGTTTCAATATGTAAAATCTTAATAAAAACATTTGTTGTGAAAAAAAAAAAAAGATTAGTTTGAATATTGAGTATATCACTTATAATACAAAAAAGTGCTAATTGAAAATGAAAACTCATGTGGTTCCATAGACTGTATATATAAATAGACGTACCAAATAGGAAGTGAACATGGGTGCGCTTCTGACTCCATTGACTCTGGCTCCAGTTCATTTTCTATTGAAAAAATGTCGCTCGTCTCTCCGTAATTGCTTCTGTCAGGCTCCTCATTTTTGTCTTAAAATGCTCATATTAATTCACACAACATGATCCTGGTGTTTTTTTTCTTCTATTTTATTTGTAAATCTATCTGACTGGAGCCGATTGCTGACTGGGCGACGTCACACTCAAGTCCATGGTTGCAACCCACCAAATAAGGAGATAAAAAGATGTTTCTACGCTTGTGTGGGTAATTTACAGTCCTTTCTTTTGGTCTAACACTTAAATCTCAACTATTGCATTTAATGTTTTATGATATTTTGGTTTCATTGACATAATATTGTCTACTTAATGTTATCAGGGTAATCAAAACGATATAGAGACATTTCCTTCATCCTTATTTCTTATAGATCTGAACATTGACAGCTCATCCCCCAGCTCTACTAGAAGGACATTTTTCATTCATTTCCGTAGACATTCTGGAAAAAATAATATTAAAAGTTTGAAAACTCAGGGTTAATCAATTTCTGAAACTTTATAAAGAGCTAAGTTAAGGGCGAGGGTTTGCATAGGGACGGTGGGGACATGTCATAACCAATAGTCCCTGCCAATATCTGCCATTTTACAACTAAAATATAAATTTATTCCGATATTTTCCCAAACTCAATAGTACTAATTTAACACGTTTTAGTTCACATTTTGATCATTAGACGTTCTGAGATGTATTCAGTGATATGATGACAGAGAGATGTCATTAGTGGAGCCAGGAGCCTAAACTGGGGAAGCGGCAGGACAGGGCCGCGCCTGCAGATGTCGGCTTGAGCAGCGTGAGTGAAGACGCTGCGCACTAAACTTTAAAAAACTTTTCAAAAGAAACTTACGTGGTTTCATCTTCAATTAAACTTGCTTTATAATGAGTCGCCGCAGAAAAAGAGCAACTGTCACCACAAGTGCACCTCCCAAAGGGAACCCTACTTGTGCCGGACTCTACTGACAATATTTCATGGAAAAATGTACGGACATGTCCTCACAAATATCTCATCACCAACAAGCAAAGAGAAATCTGCTACAAACTTCTATACCGCTGTTATCCGCTAAACAATCATCTTGGAAGGACAATGGACACAAACTGAAAAATGAAACCATCCTCTCACTTAATTTGGACCTGCCCAGACTCTGTGTGTTTCTGGAAAGAATTCATAAAACATAAACGCAACTTCTTATCCCATTTGACCCTTTCTGTTTGGTTTTTGCAGTGTGCATCATATGAAAAGTAATTATTAATCTGTTCATCAAGTAACTGATCAGTTGGTTTCATTGGGTTTCAGCTGATAATGTCCCTACCAAAGCTGAGACCAAACCAACGCCCTTGAAACCACCAGATTTTGTGTTTTAAATTTGGCTTCTGGACTTAAAACAACCACATTACGGATAAAGTTTCCTTAGCTGGTTAGACTCTGCGATGATTTTGAGCTTTTAATATTTGAATTTATCGAAAACTGACTTTGTATTGCAGACTTTTGAGCTCTGTAGTCCTTTGTGACATTATCTTACATTGACATAAACTCACCTTGAAGACGTTGATGGGCTTCTCGATGGTGAGGTACATGAGGTCTCCCAGGGCCAGGCTGGCTATGAGCGCATTGGGCCCGTTCCTCATGCACTTATTCTGGTAAATAATCCTCAGGAGCGTGGCGTTGCCCACCAGACCCACCACCAGCACCACGATGGAGATCACCGTGTTGATGTATTTGAAATAAACGTTGATCTGCGTCGGCATGATACAGGACGGGAGCTTTTTCATTGTCGTCCCGTTCGAGGGCGCTACAACTTTTTGCACGATCGGCCCCAGACTTGACGGGTTTGCAGTGGTGGTGGTGTGAAAAAGTGTTGACTGGAGAGTGGTGTACCCCAGGGACAGTGGGTGGGGCCTCTCTTCTTCTTCTTTGCCCGGGTTTATCTGGCAAATTCCACTGGCCGCCATGCAGACGATTAGCACAAACACACGCAGAGCTGGGAGGGCCATTACAGGAGCTGGTTGGAGCTTTGATTTGACTGATTGGAAGGGCTGTCCCGATATAACACCGCTGTGAAGAGATAAAGACAAAACAAAGCGGGAGATTGAGTTATGCGGCTGCCAAGAAGGAAAACATCAAGTCAGATTCAAATAGACTGGAGAAATACATTTTTATTTCAATTTAAATAAATTTTTACATATACACTACCGGTCAAAAGTTTTAGAACACCCAAATTTTTCCAGTTATTTATTGCAATTCAAGTGGTGCAAGTCCAATGAAGAGCCTGAAATGGTACAAAGGTAAGAACTTGAACTGCCAGAGGTTAAAAAAAATAAGATAAAAGATACAAAACACAAGTCCAAGCTCTGCCAAAACTACCTCAGGAAAAAAGAACAAGATGGTAAAGCTTGAAAACATGGAGTGTCCAGCAGCACAGTGTCCAGAATTAAACCCCATCGAGCTGGTTTGGGATTGAACTGGACAGAAGAGTGAAGCCACCGACAAGTGCCACACATTTATGGAAACTTCTGCGACAGACTTGGGAAGAACTTTCTGAACAATATTTGATTTCTGTTGTAAAAAGAAAAAGCCACGAGTGTGTTCAGCTGTTCTATCTGCCAAAGGTGGACACTTTCATGAATCAAAAGTTTAGAATACGTTTTGGTCAACAGTAAATGGTAAAAAACTGGAAAAAGTGTGGTATTTCTGTTCTTTGTTATTATATTTATCTACTCATAAAGAAAAAACAGAAAGACAACAACACTGAACGAGTGCCCAAACCTTTGACTGATGTGATTTAGTTACATACAAACATATCTTCTAAATGAGCACACTTTCAAACACGAAGCTCTGCGAGATAAGATACCAAAAAGTTACATAAACACTGAAATCATACAGAAAGTTTCCAGTTATTATGCTGTATTTGACATCAGTCTCTTGCTATTTTTGCTCCTTTTTTTTGGAATGTATTACTACCATTTATATTAATTCATCAATGAAACATTGCGTTTATAAAGTATGTTTCGAGACACCCAAAATCAGGGTTCCCACGGTCATGGAAATCCTGGAAAAGTCATAGAAATCAAAAACGTCATTTTCTAGGCCTGGAAAAGTCATGGGATTTTGTAAATTCAATGAAAGTTTTGGAAAAGTTCAGCGTTCTGTTTAGTTATCATTAGACTATTATGATTATTTGAATGTAAAAAACAAACAAACTATAATATCAAACCATAAGGTGGAGTAAGAGTGGAAAGGGTTAACATTTTATATTTATCTATCATCTTAAAATATGCTCAATTCTATACATGTAGGATGCTGAAAAGCTGTGTTTCTCGAATTTATTTTCTGGGGACCCATATTTTAAAAGTCACAAACCTTCCCAACCCAAGTCAATAGACATTATTCGTAAATCTCAAAATAAAGGTGGATTTGACCATTATTGAACATTAATGAGGATATTTTATTGTTGACTGAGCGATCGTGTCTCTCTGAACAATTAGTAATACTCAAGTTTTAAACAATGAAAAACAGTTTTGAAGCAGCAATAAAAGGATCCTTAAGTCGCCTATTTGGACATTAAATGTAGCCCATTTCTTTTTCTTTTTAACATGCAGTTGATCCAGCAATATTGGAACAAAATACTCAATAAAATAATTACAAAAAGATTAGAAATGATACAAAACATGTCCTAACATTTGAACATTTCTAAAGAGATAAGTGGGCGTGTCTGAGTTTTTGTAGATTGTTTTAGTCCGAGGTGCAGGAGGGGAGCGCAACACGCATATCAGGTGACCCCCCCAAAAAATCTCTTGCGACCTACTCTTTGGGAAACAATGCCGTGAAGTCATGAAAAATTTACTTTAGGTCATGAAAAAGTTATGTAAAAGTTTAGAAATTTTGTCAGTGAAAAAGAGTGGGAACCCTGCAACGAATGAACGAACGATACACGGTAGGGATGGGCATGATTAATCGATTAATCGATAATTGATCATTAAGAATTTCATCCATTACGTTAATTTTAATCGACAAACCAAATGTAGGTTGCTGTGTGTATCGTGACCAAACAGGTGTGTACATGTGTCTCTGCATCAGAAGGAGCGAGACACAAACAGTCGGTCTGTAACGTACCGAAGCACAAATGCGTATTTAACGATGATTTGTACAAGAAATTCCACACTTTCCGTTGCGTTCGGGACAAGTGTGAGTCCATGTGCACAGTGTATAAAGCAGCACATATGTTTCTGTGTCCAGTGGGAAAAAGTTTTACCAGGTGAGAGTCGCTCAATGTCGATGACGAGGCCCCGCCCCCCTCCCCCCGTACGGTGTCCTGGGTTTGACAAACGCAAATCTGGTCACACTGACCTGTATTCACCTGAGTCATGTCTTTTAATCCAACAGAAATTGAACCACATCAACGACACAAGAGCTGTAGTTTTATCTTCGCTGAGTTTATGCAAATTAGCGATGTGGTTTTAAGTTTCGTTTCTGTGAGAGTTGAACAAAACTGAATTAAACACATTATAATGTCAAACGGGCTGATGTGGCTCTAGAGTCGTTACGGTTTATATGTCATAAAGTTGAATTTATTTATGCAGATTAGTAGTGCAGATAGTAATAATAATGATGATCATTTTAATATAAAAACGTTAATGATTAATTGATAATCGATTGTTAATTCTTCCGACGATCGATTAAGAAAATTTCATCGAATGCCCATCCCTAATACACGGATTAAAGTGCTTTATACTTCATTATTCTTTCACTCCACACTCGGTGGTCAAAACCTGCTATTGTAGCCACAGCTGCCCTGGCAGACTAACAGAAGTGAGGCAGCCAATTTGCGCCATCGGTCCCTCCGACCACCACCAACACTCACGTACGCTCTACTTTCTTACTAAAGCCTAAGGACACGATCACAGCTTTTGCCACTAGCGCCCCCCTGTGGTATCTGGTTTCTCTGAGGTCTCCCATCCAAGTACAACCCAGGCCCGGCCCCGCTGAGCTTCTGAGATGCGACGAGATCAGACTTTGACGGGCTTTTATTGCCGTTCTTCGTTGTTATAATATATTATGATGTGTGAGCTGCTGTGTCCAAGTCATTTCCCTTGTGGATCGATAAAGTTTGTCTATAAGTCTCAGTCTGAGAGATCTAAAACGCTTTGTGTCAGCAGCTAGAAAGTTTGTGAGCTGTCCTGTTTAAACCCGGTGAGTGGAACATGAGTTTTTAATGTACATAATTAAAAAAGGCCGTGTGGAGTCACAGATGGGAGATGTCAGCGCTGGTTATTGTCACTGGAGCAGGGCTGTTACAACTCCTGTGCGCCGAACGGAGTCGTAAAAATGATGTACAAATAACACATGGAGCTTTTTGTTGAGACAGACGAGATTTTAACGTATAAAAATATGGATAAAACATTTCTGGTGGAGGGTTCGCTACATACTTGTCTCCATGGAGATGTTATTGCTTTGCCTGGAATGTCCCAAGGTATGACTTTAAACATATCCATCTAGCATTTAGTCATTACGGATTTCTATTGCTCAAAAATACATTAATTCTTACACTGATTACTGATTAGATTACACTGCGGTATTTTCCTGTTTTCACATTTTGGGCCATATCCCCCCCCCTTTTTTTTCTTTTTCCCGTTATTCCACTCATTGCCGGACACTAAACCAGGTCTAAACCAGGTCTAAACCAGGTCTAAACCAGGTCCAAACCAGGTCTAAACCAGGTCTAAATCAGGACTAAACCAGGACTAAACCAGATCTAAACCAGGTCCAAACCAGGTCTAAACCAGGTCCAAACCAGGACTAAATCAGGACTAAACCAGGGCTAAAACCAGGTCTAAACCAGGTCCAAACCAGGTCTAAACCAGGACTAAATCAGGACTAAACCAGGTCTAAACCAAGACTAAACCAGGTCTAAACCAGGTCCAAACCAGGTCTAAACCAGGTCCAAACCAGGTCTAAACCAGGTTTAAACCAGGACTAAACCAAGACTAAACCAGGACTAAACCAGGACTAAACCAGGTCTAAACCACGTCTAAAACCAGGTCTAAACAAGGTCCAAACCAGGACTAAACCAGGTCTAAAACCAGGTCTAAACCAGGACTAAACAAGGTCTAAACCAGGTCTAAACCAGATCTAAACCAGGACTAAACCAGGACTAAACCAGGTCTAAACCAGGACTAAACCAGGACTAAACAGGACTAAACCAGGACTAAACCAGGTCTAAACCAGGTCCAAACCAGGACTAAACCAGGTCTAAAACCAGGTCTAAACCAGGACTAAACAAGGTCTAAACCAGGTCTAAACCAGATCTAAACCAGGACTAAACCAGGTCTAAACCAGGACTAAACCAGGTTTAACAGGACTAAATCATGCTGCGTGGACGTCTCTCTTCGTCTTCTATCAATAATATTTTTTATTTGGTTAACTAAAGTCTGGACTTTTTAAATTTTCTTTTAGCAGACAAAACATCTTATGTTACGATATCCTCATCTTTGCTTCTCTACAGCAAATCAAGTAATCTAAAGTATCCAGATTACATTACTCACTAAAAATTTAATGGGTTACGTTACAAACTACATTTTGGTGTGTGTAATCTGTAATCTGTAGGGGAAAACATTTTAAAAGTCACCTTCCCAACACTGACTGTAACCTACTTGTCCCCTTCTTGATAAGTAGATTTAAGCTCTACTGTGGAACATTTTAAACAAAGCAACAACATTTCCATGAAGACAACCAGATGACGGACTCTCCACTAGAAATGTTACGCAGTGCACCTTTAACTTCATATATTTGCACTTCCAGACTTTTTACATTTTTGTGTTGTAAATACAGTAGTGATGAAAATATAGACATTATAGATTCACACTGAAAGCATAAAAAAATAAACTAAAAATAACTGAAAACTTAAAAAAAATAAAAAAAATCCACACTTTGCTTTGATCACTGCTTTGCACTTTTGGCATTTCTTGACCCTGACGTGGCACAGCTGTGAAGTGAAAACCATTTCAGGAAACTGCATTAAGAAGCTCACTGAGAGAAGGACAAAAGTTTGCAGCGCTGTTGACAAAGCAAAGGGTGAACACTTCGAGTAATTACAATATAAATACTAGGGATGTAACGATAACCGAAATATCGTGATATCGTATCGTCAAAGTTCTCACAATAATATCGTGGACCATCACAATATATCGAATTACAAGTCTCTCTGCTTAAATTAAGAGTTATGGTGCAGCAGTAGCTAAAAAAAGACAGAGGGAACTACATAGACCATGATCCTTTGCTCCATTTCAGTGCAGACGACAAGAAGAAATAACAGTTCTAAGCACTTTTAAGTATTAGTTCTTTGGGTTAAGTCTTGTCAAGGCATTTTAAGAGGAAAAAGTCGCATATTCACAGTTTTGTTCGCAGCCTCCACAAATTATCGTAATAAATATCGTACCGTGAGATGTATATCGTGAAAATATCGTACCGAGAGATTTGAATTTTGTTACATCTCTAATCGTGAGCCTCCCCACCAGATCGTGAGCTTTCCCACGATATCGCAATAAATATCGTTCCATGAGGTTCATACCGTGACGATATCGTATCGTGAGACTTGGATATCGTTACACCCCTAATAAATACTAGTTTTATTATTAAAAGGAGCATTTTCACTTTTTTCACTTTTCTGTTAGAGGGTCCGTCAAATGCTTTTTTCCATGGAGATATTATTACTTTATCTGGAAAAAAAACAATATCTAGGCAAGTTAAAATGACTTAAATTAAGAACATTTTACTTTATTTGTTTTACTTTTTCAGCTTGACAAGTCAAAATATCTACCAATGGACTAATTGTGTTTTTCTTAATTTGAGCAACATTTGGTTTTGTTTCTTATTTTAAGTGCAAAAAGTTGTTGTTTTTCTTATTTTAAGTGCAGCAAACAAAAAGTCTTATTCCATTTACTTGACTCAAAAAATGTCAATACTTTCTTAATTCCAGTCATCTTAACTTGACTAGATTTTGTTTTTTGGCAATGCAGCGTGGCGTTAAACCTTTCTATCTTCATGGAAACCAAACTAGACCAAGTTACAGGTCAGATCTGTGGAGAGGCGACCCCGCTCACGGCCATTTTTTCAGTTTTTTGACGTATTTTTGAGCAATAAATCCACCTGTAACTGAATAAACGTAGAAAAGTAGAGCTGTTTAATGTCACACTGTGGAACATTCCAGACAGAGCAATGACATAACCATAGAAACAAGCAGGTGACGGACATCTCCAGCAGAAAAGTTACACAATGCACCTTTAACTATTTTCATTTTGCTATATAATTCCACAAATCTGGCTTCTTACATTTGCGTTTTTTAACTTAATAAAGTCCGAAAGATAAATTAAAAAAACCTCGAATGAGTGTCCAAACATTTGACTAGTCCTGTTAAGTTTTTTTGTATTTCATTTTTTATCTCCAGCTGTGTTTTTTTTATATACAAACACCTCTTCTAAATGAGCACCTCTGAAACGCGCTGAAGCTTTGCCAGTAACACATTAAACGCTTACGTAAACATCCAAATCATAAGGTTCCAGTTATTATGTCACCGCTTTCTCAGGACCAAACACAAAACGAAAAAATGATTGCACAGAATTGATGAAATACAAACAGTAACCTGATTTAGGAAATTGAATTCAGACTTTGTTGTTTACGTAAAAGCCGTGTCATTCTGAAGCATGGTCATTGGCTCAGAGCTGCTCTCGCCCTCCAGGCTCCGGGAGATAGGATTACAAGTACTTTTAAGGAGCTATTGTGGGAATCCGGCTCAGGTTTGTGACGGCCGTACCGCACTGGCAAAGCTGAAGATTGGAGTTTTTATTTTTATAAGAATATTTGCGAAGATTTGAGTTGATTTCGTGTAAAAATGTTATATCTGTTACCATTTAAACGCCTGTATTACACTATTTTCGAATCTGTTTTGGTGTTTCTTCATCAAAAACTTACCTGGAGTTGCGTTTTGTTTCATTCACGCATTTTTAAACACACAAACCCGTCTTCTCTCAAACAGAAAACGCTCTCTTCCACCTTGTGATGTCATGAGGAAGTGCTCCAATGTCTGTTTAAACTCCACGCACCTTCACTAGAATCATTTGGATATTTTCAGTCCTGGAATTGTCAATCTCTGCTGAACTAAAGGGTCAAATGTTGCTTTTAACTTGAAAACTATACCACTACATGACATCACAAGGTGGAACAGAGCATTTTGAGCTTTGCAGATGCAGACAGACTAATAATAAGAAGAGGAATTGCTCAAACATGTGAATGAAACAAAACAAAACACAACTCGAGGTTTGTTTTTGAGGAGAAAAGAAAAACAACATTATGGCTAAAACATGGCTCACAAAAGTACATTTTGCGTAACATAAAACCTTTAAAGGTGAACTGCACTGCAAAAAACAATATCTATACAAATATCAATCAATATCAATACCACCTGATGATGTAAAACAATTGGTGTAGGACTCTATAAGTTTTTAAAAGTTCATCCTACTCCTTTTGAGCACCAGGTCCCAAATATGTTCATGTACATATCACTATTTTTGTTTTTTAATTGTGTTGTGCCTGGCTCAAACAAATAAATAAATGAAAAATGAAATGAACAAACAATCTAGGTGAGTTAAAATGACTTAAATTAAGAACAAGTCAAATTATCTACCAATGGAATAAGTGTGTTTGATTTAATTCAAGCAAAATTGGATTTTATTTCTAATTTTAAGTGCAAAAAGTTGTTGTTTTTCTTTTTTTCAAGTACAGAAGAATGTATTTTCATATTTTAAGTACAAAAAGTCTTATTCCATTTACTTGTCAAGTAAAATTGACTGAAATCATGTCAATACTTTCTGAATTCAAGTCATCTTAACTTGACTAGATTTTAGTTTTTGCAGTGCGGCGTGGCGTTAAACCTTTCTATCTTCATGGAAACCAAACCGGACCAAGTTACAGGTCAGCTCTGTGGAGAGGCGACCCCGCTCACAGTCAGTTTTTCTGTTTTTCGACCTATTTTTGAGCGATAAAACCACCTGTAACTGAATAAACGTAGAAAAGCAGAGCTGTTAAATGTCACACTGTGGAACATTCCAGACAGAGCAATGACACAACCATAGAAACAAGCAGGTGACGGACATCTCCAGCAGAAAAGTTACACAATACAAGTGTAGCAAGATGTATTTTCATATTCTAAGTACAAAAAGTCTTAGATAACTTTAGTTGTCAAGTTAAATTTACCCAAATCATGACAAAACTTTCTTAATTCAAGTCATCTTAACTTGACTAGATTTGAGTTTTTGCAGTGCACAAAACTTTTCTGTTATTGCTTTGTCTGAAATATTCCACAGTATGGCATTAAACATATGCTCACCTCTCCTCTCCACAGATCTGACTCTGTGCAGCACTAGTAGCAACGAAAAAAAGCAGTTATATAAGCATGACAAGACAAAACAAGACAAAACAACAAGACAAAAGTTGCACAGTGCACCTTTACGTTTCTCTCGTTTCAAGGAATCACAAGCAGAAAAGCTCAAATAAAACTAAATTAAAATCACCAAAGGTCCTATATTAGGCTATTTTCTGATCTATGTTATAATCTTTAAAATTTCCTCATCAAAAACAAACCTGCCTACTCCAAACTTCAACTTTTCAGAAGACACAAACCAAGTGTTGAAATCTTTCAAACTTAAATAAATGTCCACCGAAAAAGAGTGTTTCCGTTCAAATCCACAACCCTGACTTGATATCGTAAAGTCGCACTGTGTAACTTTTCTCGTGGCGGGTCCGTCACCTTGCTGTTTCTGTGGAGATGCTGAGGTTCCGCAGTATGACATTAAACAACTCTATGTTTAATCTAATCCATTACAGGTGGTTTTAGAGCTCAAAAACACCTAGAAAAACAACATTCTGACTCTGAGTTGGCTCGCCTCTCCGCAGACCCGACCTGTACCTTGGTCTGCTTTGGTTTCCGTGAAGATAGACGGGTTTAACGCCCATACTGTGGAACATTCTAAACAAAGCAACGACATCTCCACGAGGAAAAGCATCCCAGAGAAAAGTTCCACGACGCACCTTTAAATCTACGCTCCTATTTCTCAGCGTTCGCGATCAACCTGTTTCCAATTTACCCCGCTTTTAAAACAAATCGCTTTTTTTTTTTTCTAAACATCAGGTCGGAATCAAAACCCACTCACCCCCGGTTAAACATTTGCATTCTTTTCCTCTTTTTTTTTCCCAACATTGCGCCAAACAAACTCCAACCGAAATCCGCTCTGTGATTTTTTTAATTTATTTTCTTCCCCCCTCAGCTCAAAAGTTCGGAGAGCTGTCAGTCGCGACCGCCGTACCCCCTTTGCTTCTTCCTGCGCGAAATCCCATCTGTCACTAAATACACAAGAGCTATTTAGCAGCCAGCCACTCAGATAGCATCCCGAGTTATCGTCACACAACGGGGACGTGTGACAACCTCCCAAAACCGATCAATAATAAATGTTTTTTTCACCTACCTATTGGTTCCCTTTGCCTTGCCCCCCTTTTTAGTCTCGCGTTAGGCAAACTTTCTTCCCCCAGACATCTGTATCACATCACATGAGTAATTAACGCGCTATCAAAGGCGGAGAGGGTCCCAAATGGTTTGAGCGACGCGAGCAGTCTTGGCGTTATCGGGCGGTGGAAGTTTGGTAGCGGAGAACAGGCTGTGTGTGTGGCTCTGTCTGTCTCTATTTGTGTGTGTGTGTGTGTGTTTGGAAGTACCGGAGAGACTTTAGGATGGGTGGGATAGTAAATCTCCACCTCCCTCTGGAACACACGCCCACCGGCTCGCTCTCCTCGTCTGCTCGGAGACTCGGGAGGAGGTGCGGGGGGCAGTAAAGGAGCGCGCCGGAGACGGAGAGCAGAGAGCAGAGAGAAGAGAAAGGCGCTACAATCTGCCCCTCGTCTCACAAACCCTTCCTTCCTTCTTCATTAATTTCACTTTGCGCGGTTGGAAGTTACAAGCAAATGTTTCCTCTGCGAAGATAAGGGGTGAGGGATGAGGGGTTTGGTTCGGGGAGCGTCGTGGGTGGCTTGCGACATTAGAAAGAGGTCAGATAAGAATAGAGAAGGGGACGGGCCATTTCGCAGTGGGAATATGTCAGATTTCAGAGTGAGAGTTGCGTGGAAAAGCTGCTATATCGCACAGAATTGACTCTCATGAGCTTTAATCCATGTTAAAATATAATTACCTCATCGAAAACATACTCGGAGTTGTGTTTTGTTTCAATCAGACTTTGTTATTCGGCTGTCTACATCTCCAAAACTCAAAATGCTCAGTTCCAACTTGGGATGTCGAGACTGTGTTTTACAGTCTTGGTCTCGTCTCGGACTCAAGGTCTGACACGCGACGAGTGTGATCGTATTTCATTAGGACTGGTAAATGTTCAGAGTCTGCTCAGTGTCACTGCAAAACCAGTAAGATAATGAAAAAACCAAAAACACTTGATTAACTTTGAAGCTGTTTTCTGTAAAGCGCCAGTGAAAGTCGGATTAAAGAAGAGGTTCTCAAACTGTGAGTGAGGATCCAAAAAAGTGGCGCAGAGTTTAAGTTTAAGTGCAGTACAGTTTGCTTGATCAATTTTAAGCTTAAATGAACCTTAATCAGATCAAATGGAGACAGATTTATAAAAACATTACAAAAACACTGACATAAATCTGCCAAAATAGCTGTAAAATACAAATAAATGTAGGAAATGACAAAGCTGGCCTTGATTTGGTCTCAATGGTCTTGGTCTTAACCTTTAAAAGTCTCAGTCTTGTCTTGGTCTCAACTCTCAGAAGTCTTGGTCTTGTCCTGGTCTTGGGACCCTGTGGTCTCGGACTGGTCTTGGTCTCGATTAGTGCTCTCTTGACTACGGCACTACCTTATACCTTTAGTTCAGTAGCGATTGGCAGTTCCTGAAATCATCCAAATGACTCTAGTGAAGGGGTATGGAGAAGTAGCCAGGCTGGTGTCGACCAAGTGCTTCCGCTCAATTTAATTTCTCTCCAGAGACTAGGTCAGTAATCAGAATACACTAGACGATGTGCAAGAACCCCGGAAGTTGTAGATCATGCACTGGCCAATCAGAGAAGAGCTGTGAAGCCATGACATCAAACTCGTCGCGTATGTCTGTGTCCCTTTTGTGGAACATCACAACAGTAAACAAAGCGTCGAGACGGATGTAGACGAAGACAGACATTCTGTGTTGGCAACGATTCCCGAGATCGAGGATTTAAAACCTGAACAAAGAGAATGTTTGGTGAATTTTATCAAGTGGAAAGACGTTATTGTCCTTCTTCCTACGGGATTTGGCGCATTACATACGTCACGACCAAACAGCAGCGATTGGTTAGATAAAAAAGTACCCTCCTACAGTCGAGCGAACAAATCCTAACGCTGCGAGGTCAGACGGTTTCCACGAAGTGAAACCGGCTCATGAATCAGACTAATGGAAAAAAAACTCAGCCTAAATATGCAGGGTTTGTGTGTTAAATGTGTGCGAATGAAACAAAACACAACTCCAGGTCTGTTTGTGATGAGGAAACAACGTTATAACAAAGCAAAATATGGGCCCATTAAAGCCAAAGTACCTGATATGTATTGTCTTAAAATGAGAAAAACATCCTCTACTGGTTTAAAGTTTTAGAACACCCTGATTTATTGCAGTTCAAGTTGTGCAAGTTCCGTGAAGAGCTCGAAATGGTAGGTTAAAAAAGGTTAAAAAAACAAGGTTAAAAAAAGAGAAAAGATAACAAAACACAAGTCCAAGCTCTGCCAAAACTACCTCAGGAAAAAAAAAACAAGACGGTAAAACTTGAAAACATGGAGTGTCCAGCAGCACAGTGTCCAGACTTAAACCCCGTCGAGCTGGTTTGGGATGAACTGGACAGAAGAGTGAAGCAACCAGACAAGTGTCACACATTTATGGAAACAGATTTGGGAAGAACTTTTTGAAGAATATTTGATTTCTATTGTAAAAAGAATGAGCTGCAAGTGTGTTCAGCTGCCAAAGGTGGACACTTTCAGGAATCAAATGTTTAGAATACTTTTTGATCAACAGGAAACCATAAAAAACTGGAAAAAGTGCGGTGTTCTAAAACTTTTGACCGTAAGTGTATTTTAAACAATTTGCAGCAGTCCAAAGTTATTCCTGACTTTCATTACACATTCAGAGCATCCCAATTACCATATTTTCTGCACTATTAGTCGCTCTGGATTATAAGACGCACTGTCATTAAATGGTCTATTTTCTAACTTTTTTCACAAATAAACCGCACTGGACTTTAAAGGAAACACAACAGTTGGATGGGTCAGTGGTTTAGTTTGTTTGTGGCGTTCACGGTGACTCTGGGCTTTGTTCAGTTGTGGCGCGTAGGGAGGGTGTGTCTGGGACCAACGGATTGTCGGCGTGTTCGCAGTGATTCAGTTGTTCAGTCGTGTCTAGAAGCGGCACATTGCGCTCGCTTTTTCGGTTCGTTCCTCGTCGGCGTGGAGTGATGAGTGTGTCTGCGGGTGTTTTTCGCTGTGCGGTCGCTGTCTGCTCCGTGTGTGTTTGCGTGTTCTGCGGGTGGTGCGGCTTTGTAGTTTACTGAAGTCGTACTGGGACACCCGAGTGGATTTGTGGTCATCGTTTTTTGATAAGGTTAGAGGCTTAAGAGCGCGACTAATGACCCGGAAAATACGGTACTTTTAAGCACTTTTCTTTTTGCTCTTTTGCCCTCCCAATAAATCTCACAACTACTACGATGCTAACCACACTCCTCCTGATTTTCACACAATAAAACGCTTCACTTTTAATCAGATGCAGACAGTACACAGCTGACTCGGTTTGACGTCAAGAGCTGCTTATTCAATACGTCTGTACTTGGGCAAGACACATCTGAAGAAGTCGAATCAATAGGTCCGTTCTTTTTACTGATAAATCTTTGTTTTACTGAAAAACACACGCACAACAGATACTAAAAGTTAGTTTGGACTCACAGCACAAAGGTTATTTTAAGGAGGCCCCAAGTTTGCAGGTCCAAATTCTGCATATTTTGTTCACATATTTGGGAAAGAAGTAACGGAACACCTACTGCTATGGCCTCAAAACAATTTAATCAACATGCACGTGCACTTTTGGTATCAACAAAAACATTTTCAGCAAAACGGTGCTCTGGTTGCAGCATCCAAATCCAAATCCACTTTATTTTTATAGCTCATTTTACAAACAAAGCAGACAAATTTGGTCATACCAGTCCGAAAACAATAAAACCAGTAAAAATCAAATAAAAGCGAAACCATAAAAACATAAAATAGCAATAAATAAGTCAAATAAACTAAATAAATAAAAGACACAGAGGACCACACAGCTCACGCGGTGTTAAAAGCCGGAGAGTAAAAGTGGGTTTTAAGACGAGACTTAAAATACTCGACTGTGGGGGGTGTTGCAAGTGAAAGAAAAATAATACTGCCTAAATAATACTTAAAAATAAAATAAACATACAATAAAAAAATACCTTAAAAATACCTTAAAAATTAAAAACCTTTGCTTGATTTGCCAGGGTTTAAGGAGGCAGTACAATATTTTTTTCACGATCAACCAGTACAGCTTTATGTTGGAAAATGCAAAGGAAAATCTAGTAAAATCAGATTTAATGTAAACACAATCCTCAAACCTTAAAGTGTGAAATGTTTTTTGCGGTGGAAAAGTGTCTCTGGTCTCAGCAAAGAGACAACTGAAGACAACAGCTGAAAAACTACACGTGTTTTCTGATGTTTTTAATGTCAGAAAACTAAAACACACACACAAAAAAAAAGACCAGCGCATAGAATCATGTAAGATAAAGTTGCTTCAGTTGAATATTATATGAAATGTACCAAAGCACCAATATCCTCCTGAACTGCTTATCTCTGTTGAAGTAGAATGTTCCACAGTATGGCATTAAACATATTTATCTAACCAGACACAAGCAGGTGATAGACAGACCAAGTTACAGGTCAAATCTGTGGAAAAGCGGTGCAGCTCATTGTAAAAAATAAGTTTTTTTGGGGGGTGTTTTTTTTTTGCCATAAAAATTTAATACATACAAATGCATATAAGTTAAATTCTAGATGACGGCGTATTCCAGGTCAGGTTCATTTCTTTCCAGCGACTAGGTCAGGAATCAGAATACACTACACGATTTGCAAGAACCCTGGAAGTTGTCGACCGCACTCTGGCCAATCAGCGAAGAGCTATAAAGCCATGACGTCAAACTCAAGCGTCTGTCTGGGTCCCTTTTGTGGAACAGCACAACAGTAAACAAAACGTCGAGATGGATGTAGACGAAGACAGACATTCTGTGTTGGCAACGATTCCCGAGATCGAGGATTTAAAACCGGAACAAAGAGAATGTTTGGTGAATTTTATCAAGGGGAAAGACGTTATTGCCCTTCTTCCTCCGAGATTTGGCGCATTACATACGTCACGACCAAATAGCAGCGATTGGTTAA